GTTAAACCCCCATATTGGTCCCTCAACTATTGTCCGGACCTCTGACTTACTTCCTCAACTCAAAAAAGCCTTGATTTGATCTTTACTGTTGACTATTTTTATCCCGATTTGATCCCTCTGTTAAAAAACTTATGACGTGTATCGTTAATTTACAATAAAATGATGACATGTCAAAACATTATCCTACATGGAAGACAACATGGCAAAAAATAGTGACATAAAAAAAATAATAATATAACAAAAAACTTAAAAAATTCTTTCTTTTTCTTTTTTTTTCTTCTCCTTCCTTTTTCTTTCCCCTTAGGGTCTGGAACACAGAGCCGAGTTTGATCGAACCCAAGCTTTGGGTTCCTTAGAACCCCACTCTATGTTCAAATGAACCCAGGCGCTAGGTTCGAACCTGGGCTCTGGGTTCCTTGGAACTCGATGAACCTAGCGTCGAGTTCGTCAAACCCAGGCATTATATTATTTGGCAAAAAAAAAAAATTGTGTTTTTGTGGATGTTGTTTGATGATAAACTGATTGATGAAGAAGGCGAAGAAAGGAAGAGGAAAAAGAAAGGGAAAGATGAAGGAGAAAGAATATTTTAATTTTTATTGTCAAATCATTATTTTTTTTGCTAGCTTGCTTTCCACGTGAACATACTGTTTTGACGTGTACATTAGGTTGCTGTTAGTTAACGGACACGTGGAGAGATTTTTAACAGAAAGACCAAATTGAAGTAAAAATAGTAAACAGTAAGAACCAAATCAGAGATTTATGAATTGAGGGACTAAGTCAAGGGTCCATACAATAGTTGAGGGACTAAAAAAGAAGTTTAACCTTTATTAATTATGATATTGATAATTAATTTTAATAAATTTTTATATTAAATTTAATTATAATAAAATATAAAATATAACATAATGTTTATATTTAGAACAATGAGCAGTGCTAGGGGCACTCGTTTTTGGCACTCTCGGACCAACACTTCCCCTTTCATTGGGCCACGTAAGCTTCTTTAAAGCTTTCAGGGCAACCTCTTGGGAACCAAAATAACGTGGCCCAATAAAAGAGAAAGTGTTTGCCGGAGAGTGCAGGAGGCGAGTGCCCCTAGCATTACCCTTACAACAATTCAAATTTCTTATAAAAACTTATATAAAATTAATTATATATATCATAATTAATAAATTTTAATTTATATTAAAAAGTACAAAATAAATAA